TCGCAAATGAGACAAAGGATCCAAAGTTCTGACCTACGTCAACGATCGAAAATCACCGACGTAGTTCTACTCGCCAGGATATCGAAAATAAGGTGGGCCGGACACGTGATGCGCTTCAACGACAACCGATGGACGAGAGCCGTTACCGACTGGATTCCTCGGGACGTCAAGCGCTCTAGAGGAAGACCACTGACCCGTTGGTCCGATTTCTTCACGAAAGCGATGGAAGAAAGATATGATGCTCAGCGAATTCCTAGAGCAAGGAGGACCCACTGGGCTACTCTTGCACGCGATAGGGAAAAATGGAAGAGTTGCTGGTACCCGCTCGAGTCACTCGACGATCAACGGGAAGACAGGTGATACAGGTGATACGGCAGGCACGTTACGTGCCAACTCTGATTCTGGCAGTGCTCTATTATTTGACTGCGGCATCGTATATATTTGAGAGTTTTGCTAGTGGAGTAATGAAGAAGTTGGAACCGTATGGTACACACTGCTTGTGATCCAGTTTCCAGTGATGCTCTGTGCGGGTTCACTCTTGACCGTATCCAACCTCTTCCTATTGATTAACGACATCCCCATTGAATATTCAGCCTGGCTACCTTTGAAACTGGAATTAAATTTTTCTACCAAAATTCTACGGACTCAAGAAGCAGTTGATTTTACGTAGCAAAGGGCGATAGAAGTCGCATGATAGCGTGCCGATAGCACACAAAGTGAAAAAAAAGGCTTTGACATTGGTAAAATAGACCAATAGATTACGTAGCCAACATTTGCTTCGTCATCCCATTTCGCTATTTTATTGCCTAGTGCACTTTCAGTTTAATCGTCTGTGAAATTTTTACTGAAATGCGGCAGGTTGGATCTATGCAGCACTTAACCCACTCATTAAGCGCCACCCTTTGTTCTTCAGTATGAGGTTTTTCTGATCTCAAAACGGAGTGTTAACAACATACAAAATATTTTACAAAGTCTTTGTGCTGCCCTCATCTTTGTTAACGATTGCAGTAGACCTAATTTTTTTGTGTTTCAAAGACAGTACAACACGTGTCATGATTTTCGCAGACTGTCCGTTTAATGTGATATTTCTTATTACTTCGATGAACTTTTGCCTCGGATATAGGTGTCCTCTTTTGAATTCAGGCAGTTAATAGAGACTGCAAATTCCTAACATTGGTTGTGAATCCGTATTTTTTCATCTTAGCGATACCATAGATAAATTCCATTTCATACTGCCTAATAAGAGGCTAATAAATGATATTCAGGGTTTCACCCTTCTACCCGCAAAATAAATCCCTATTTTAACTCAACTTGCTTTCCAAACACGTTAAAATGATGAACACCATGCGTTTCTTGGTGAGATCTGCAATAATCAACGGGATGACTCATAACTTACCAGCCAGAAGTGTGTATTCACATTATTAAAACTAACATTCATTACACACTTGCTATCAAAAATTTATCTCAGACCTTGTTCATGTTTTGCTTTTCTTCCCTTCAACTGTTCTTGAAGTGGACGACGAAAGGGTCAAAGCTGAACCGAACAAGTAATAACGACTAGGCAGAGAAACTTTTGCTCGTACATTAGCGGCAGTCATTAGCTTTAGTTTTGGCATTCAACTTTGCTTTCTCCTTCTTTTTTTTGGGCAATCATGTAAAGTCTGCTGCATTACGGAGCTTACATCAGATGATTATAAAGCTTCAATCCGGCAAAAATTGGCGTTAGATCGTTCTCGAGTCCAACGACGATTCGAGTATAGTGTCCACTATTGTCTGTTGCGAACTACAAATGTTAGTGCATAGAGCCGATATGGCGAAGGAGAACACGGCGTCAATTAAGCGAACTCGCTCAATGACTCTTTATGGTAGATACTGATAATTCGCCTACAATTATGATTTCTCGTAAGCATCCAATGCTGGAACATTCCGAATTATAATAGTTTCTCCTTCAAAGTTAATCGACGATTGTTGGCGTCAATATGGTCCACATTTGAGTATACAGAAAAAGCAACACAGGCTTGTATGTCGAAATTGGTCAAATGAAAACTGCGCTTTGATACTGACCACCTGAGAATGAATGCCTATGACTTTGGTCTTTTGATAACATACACAAGCCGTCATGCGTCTTTCGGATTCTTGTATTTCTTGCATTCCATTCGTTCTTCCGCATCGCTCATTCGCAAAAATCCTCCAAGTCCACGCTTGGGTTGATGCTGCGAGAATTTTTTTTGCCATAAATGTCCATAAATGCTGGAACGAAGAGTCTTTTCTATGAAGTCCTGCTATATAAGGTTTAGCAAAATATCTGCAGAACTTTCGAAAAATTTGTTTTTTTTAAAGATATTTATGCAGATTTATTGATTGTTTGCTACACATTGATCTAATTCACTAACTTATTTGCTCATAATTATTATCTGGGCCAACATGTCATCTGGTCTGTTAATGGACTCTTGTACATCTCGATACACGTGTTTCAACCTTACAATTTCGTCAGTCGGGCCGAGCCCTTCCTCTTTAGCAAATTCTCTCGGGAGCCCCTACTCCCCCTATAAGGAGGTAAGTGACAGCGAACGATTTACACTGCACTGCCGTCAAGTGAAAAATCACAAGATTGCCAATCATCTTTGACACTCGATTGCTCTTGGCTGGTATATTCAATAAATCATAACTTTCGTTTCAAGTGTTTTCTTAAGAGATAGGGACTTCTCCTTTTCACGGGACATAGAGTGTAAAACGTTCGTTACCACCTGACATGTGTGGCTCAAATGATTATAATGATTATCAATAGTGATTATCAGGCATATTGAAATTTCAGCAGTGGTCTTATGAAAACACTCGAAACGAAAGTTATGATTTACTGAATTTACCAGCCAAGAGCAATCGAGTGCACTACACTCTATGTTTGGTGAGATTTTCACGGGACATAGAGTGTAAAACTTTCGTCGTCGCTAACTCTTAGTGTGGGGACTGGAGCTCCCACAGAGATTAGCAAAAGACGAGAAAGGGTAACTGCCCGACTGACGAGATCGCAAGATCGAAACACGTGTATCGGGCTCTATAAGTTAACCCTCATTGACTGACCACTGACATGCATGGCTCAAATAATGATTATCAGGCATATCCGCCATCAGCTGATAAACCAGTTGTGTGTCACAGAGCACTCTTCAACTATTTCCGCCCACTCGCTAGATATTCAGTAGGAATTTGAGTTTCTTTAACAGCAGTAAAAAACTAGGTGCTATCCAAATACTTCAGTTGGAATCGAAGTTGGTCGATCTACTCCTCTCATAAACTAATCTATGTGCTTGGTGGTGATGCTTTCATTTCCTCTTCTTTCTTTGAATCGTACTATTTGTTGCAAGGTTGCTGCTTTGTTAGCCAGTGCATACCCCACCATAGAAACCTTCAGGGTTGCAGAACAGTGCTCTACAAGTTAGCCAAATTTTGTGCCTGTTGGGATGCAAGCCGTTGTTCCACGGCAAGGAACGGGCGTTGAGGACGCAACTCTACTTCCACTGTCATACATTGCTTCGCGAAAAGATTCTAACTTGGTGCTTTAGTTTTCATACTCTTATACTTGTGTAAAATCGACCAAAAACGGCATCAATGTATTTATAATTGACTTGGAGAACAGCATCACCATTAAACAAAACACGAGCGAAGGTTTATGTAAGATGCTAAGGAAAACCACAGCACGCGAACTAAGTTTGTTCGCCGCTTCAGAAGACATTCACTGAGCAGTCCCACAAACGAACAACCACAATTATTGCCCAGTATTTTGTAATTGACGAAGAGTGCGTAACGTGCCGACATGGGAGGCTTTGGAGTGGTATGCAGTCGATGTATTGAGTGATCAGAGGCTCAAGGAGTTATCGCAAGCCGTTTGGGATGCGGCGATCCCTAGGACGCTTTGTCCAGTAAATGTTTGCATAGCTCTCTCAAAAGTAAAACTGCGTAATCAAATCGATTGGTACGTGGAACGCAAATGCAATTCGAATGGAGCGAAATGCAAGTAATACAGGAGGACTGTGGCTAAAGAATTAAAAGCATATTCTCTGTAGTATAAAGATTATTCTCTACAATTCTCCACCCTCTTCAGCAAGTGGGTAGCATAAATGTGCACTGAATGTTGCGGAAGGCATCACTGCACTAAATTCGACTCACTGAAAAAAGACTCATATTAAAAATTTTTATAGACACAAGGCTTATGTCATTGTAATGAAGATGCAGTCGGTGACTGTTCACAGTGAAACATTTTTTTAGCCACCTCGCGTAAACTCACACAACAAATAAAATTGAGTTTGATGCCGAGGCTGGATCAGGGTTAGTTATCAAAATGCTGTCATATTTTTCTGTGCAAGACCACCCGCCAATTTTGAATAATGAAATAGTCTTGAAAGACTACACAAGGTTATGCTTACGCTTGTTAGTGAACGTATTAATGATATATTAGATTTTATTCGAAGCAGTGTGTCAGCGATCAAAGAGGCAAATTGGTAATGTTTTTGAGACAGCCTGGCAGTCTTGACATATTCAAAAGATATATCATGAATGTTGAAATTTCCAGTATTTTTACTGCATTTTTCGCAGTGTTATGATGTTACATATATACCTACGAGAATTGAGTGGTGAGCGAAAATACGGCCTCAGGCGGGAATTGAACATGCGTTTCCTCCATACCGGAGATGCGTGCTGTTACCACTTCACCACCTAGGCACATTTGCATCACTACCGCACCACTTGAAACGAGAGTTCAATTTCCAGCTAAAGCCGTGTGTTTGCTCACCACTCAGTTCTCTTAGGTATATATGTAACATCATAACACTGCGAAAAATGCAGTGAAATACTTGAAGTTTCGAGTATTAGTATTATTCGAATAACAATGGCTGTCAGCTCAACTGGGTTTATATAACGAAATCGCATAGCCGAGGAAATCTGTTTAAGGTTGGTGGTTGATAGCTAACAAGGAGATGTTGAAGATGGAGTGGTTGCGCCAATGTGCCTCGGTGGTGTAGTGGTAGTAGCACGAGTCCGCGGTATGCATGAAACGCGAGCTCGATTCCTGCCTGAGGCCGTGTTTTCACTCACCACTCAATTCTCTTAAGTATTATAAATGTCTTCATCTAACTGACATATTGTGTATTGCTAAAACTACTAAAGTTTAATGTAAATAGCTGTTAAAGTGTTGAAAAATATATAAATAGTGCTCAGAAATTTTGACGTTTTCCTGCTTTCTAATTTCACGATATTATGAAGAGGCCCAAGAGAGTTGAGTGGTTAGCAAGATGATGAAGTTCTCGACGTTAATCTTTTTCGGAAGAGTGCGCTATGCATTGCACTTCATCAGACATCGTTAAAGGTGATTGAATGCATTTCTGGCAAAGTGGGTCGTGCTGGCCTACCGATGTTTTGAGTCAGTGCTGCTATCCTCTCGGACATGTCTAGTGCGATTCTGAGATCTCGTAGGGAATCAAAAGATTAGTGAGCCATAACTGCAAAAATGAAGAGGAAGCTTAAGCGATCTATATGGATTTGGAAAATACACAAAGGAGGCCATAAATTCTCTATGACCATCACAAGTTTCGCTCAAAAATTACACCTATACGAAGACCTACAAAGCGTCATACTGGAATTCATGGATCAGAGTAAAAGGTGCTGTTCGCCTGTCTGGGGACAAATGGAAAAACGACCCCTTTCGTTGATCAAGAACTTTTATAAGAATGTCAGCAGTCATTGGAAATCATTGGAAAGCTTAAATCTCTGGCTAGAGCTCAACGCGCACCTTCTTCCAAAATAACATTCTATAAAACTGTATTATTCCCAAAATTATTTTTTGCACCGACTGTGAGCCTTGATTAGTACGTATTTCGCTGGAAGCACAAAAAGCATATGAACATGCAGAGGAAATCTTGTAGTATCAGAATCATAAGTTTTATTAAGAATTTCTTTCGAAGCGGGCAAAAGCTTACTAATTGAATAACGAGAGTGCACGTCACATGTGAGGCGCCTCACTGCCATCGATTGATCGCCGTGTTGGAAACTCGGGCAACCCTCCATCTCTGCTCTCGTCCACGAGCCCATAGATTGACCAAAATGCAATTGCCCGCGTGTGTGAATCGACCTTACTTTCTTGCTACACTGCATCGATCCGCCTTTTTGGAAATAAACAAAGCATAAAAACCATTGAAACTTATGCCATCGAGTGGTTATCAGTATTCTAAAGGAAAGACTGTGTCTTGAGAGAAAAACACGTATGTAGACAACATGTTGTCTTTCTGCTACAGCGCCGAAATGAGACCTTTTTGGAAAATGGCAGCGTAATACGGTAACCGGGGACATAAAGCTTTGAATGATTACAAAAAGTGTAATAGAAAGCTTTTGTCCAACGAAATGCGTCGTTTCCTCATTTGTTACCAGATAATCGAAAAGAAGAGAGTAAAACAAGCCAACAGAGAGACATTCTCGCTTTATAATAAATGCTTGAATCGTATACAGTAAACCATAATTCCAAAATCGTTCGTGAACTTGGGAGTTCTCTAACAAAGATATAATGACGAAAGAAACCTCTTAATGAATTAAAGGTTTGCTCATCAGTGTTGCAATCTTCCCAAGATTCCTGGCTGTATAAGCCGAACGCCTCCGCGCAGCCTTAAAGTTTTTGCAAAAGAGGAAGTTTTGCTATATCTAGGCAGCAAAACTCCGCAAATATAGCTAACTGAGATGTAACTGAGTTATTAGTCGATTTTTGAGAAGATACCGTTTCTTACATCATCAACGAACAGTACAATCGGCTTATCTACATCTCCACTTTAGCGCTATGAATGCCGGGAGTCTAGAAGTCATCAAAATGCGTCCATTTCCAAAAGGTTGGAGTTTATAGACCAATATGGATTTGCACGAACTACGAGAAGCCGACAATTCACACCCGTACTTGCTAAAGGTGCAGAAATGCGAAATGAGAAGATTATAAAGAGAGAGGAGCAGAGAAATTATCCATATCCAAAATGGACAAGACCGGAACACTCTAAGCGGCTTTGGTAAGTTCTCAACAAGCCCGACTCTTCACTCGCTAGCTGTCGAAATGCAGTTTTCAGCCAACAGGCAACACCAACAAAGCAGTGTCATTCAAAACAGGAGGCCTACATGAATTCAGCAACTACCGCTGAATCTGCTTACTGCCCGTCGTCTACAAAGTCTTCGTTTGAGTCATTTTGATCAAGACTGACAAAGCAGTAGACGAAGGACGGCAGTGAGAACAAGCGGAGTTACAGAAAAGATTTGGCTCTATAAAACATATTCACAAAAGAACAGGATTCGATCACGTTCCATAAGAGCATAAGAGGCCTCTCTTCCCTACTTTCATTGATTTCAAGAGGACCACTGATCAGTGTAACGGAAGCATTTATTGAAGCCCTGGAAAAGTGGGTATAACTATTCAGAGGCCAAGGATTTGTGAGTTGCATGGAGTTTCGCAAGAACAATATCACCATACTATAAAGTTGATATCATAGGCGTAAAAAGAGGATTTTGGCAAGATGATACTATTTGGCCAAAACACCAAAACGTCCATGCGAACTTCAAAGGCATCAAGATGGGAATGAAGATCGCCGGTTAACAATTACATTATCTTCGTTTCGCTGATGATACCGTTCTTATAACGTTAGGCATAAGTCGAGTAGATAAGACGTTGACCGATATCGACAACGCTACTGAAGGATTGGTTTCCGACTTCATCTAAAGATAACGACATTCTGAGGCAGGATTTCTTGCTCATCTTTTTGGCTCAAAGACCATCCCTGTCTTAACACATGCTTCAGAAACATGACCTCTTCGCAAGCAAGACAAGAAATCATTGGTCTCTGCGAGCGTGCAGACGAAAGGTCGGACCGCTCCTCGTAGTTGATAGTAAGGATAGGGTTCCGACCTACGTCAAGAATCACAAGGCACGATGCCGTTTTACACTAGGGTATTGAAGTTGCAGTGGGCGGCACACGTAATGCGTTTTCGACATTTGATAGACGAGGGCCGTTGCCGACTGAGCTGCTCGAGATTTCGAAAGCACCACGGAGATAGTGCCGATCCGTTTGTCCGTTTTTCTCATGAAAATCCTATGAACAAAGGAGCCCTCACCTTTTCTAGCACGCGGTAGCGAGAAACGAAAGTTTTATCGTGCATGTTCTGGTCACTGAAAAAAGGGGACATGTGATGAACACATATATATATATATATATATATATATATATATAGTATATATATAAATATATATTTATATATTAATAAATAAATATATATATGCATTGGTGAGTTGTACTTGTTGAAGCGTATACGCATTGATAGTTGTAGCGGAGAAGGAATGCTGCCAAAGCAAGAGTCGGTAGTGCAGCGGATTAGACTCACTACATTAGCGAAGCTCCTGACCTGCTGTCTCTCCTTCTGTTACATAATTTTGTGCCATGTTACAGAATGATCTGTCATACACGTCATCAACAACGAGGCTTGGCATGATCTCTTTCTCCAACGCTTTCTTTTCCCTTATTCATTTGTTGATGTCCTTGATTGGCTATCTCTAAATTACAAGTCCATTCGAGTCGGTGAGCATTCTATGACATTCCTATAAGGAAGGTATTCTCAAGTGAAAGTCATATGACACGCGAATTGCAAAACTTTGTGAACAATGAATGCGGCTAAATGAATTGATTACAACGAATATGCGAACGTGCGCAATAATTGTTATGGCGTTTTGTTAGTAGAGGTGGGTCCTCGCTGCCACTGCATGTATGCATAATTATTTACAAAGTGATCCACCTTATCAACTGTTTCTTAACTTCGTTATAACATTCAATATACTTTGTGAGAATGTTTGAGCCTTTCCGAGGTTGTTACGTCGGAGCTCTACACTTGTTTCGTAAGTGTCGCCCTCTTCATCAGTGGCCCACACTCCACACTGAGCCCTAGACTATATCGAATGTTTACAGCGAGGTTAAAAAACATTCGATGAGGTAGATAAGTTTATATCTACTAGCCGCAATACGCTGCCTGAAGAAATGGTGATATCACGATATCATTGTACGTTGTGCTATCACTACATGCTTCTTCCCTCCTTGCTACAAAAAAGGGATATCAGTGTGGGGCGTCGACCATTGATGAGAGGAGCGATACTTTAAAAACACGTGTATGGCTCCGACGTAACAACCTCGGTAAGGCTTTGAACATTCTTACAGACTACATTTACAAAGTGCAGTTTTGATCTCAAAGTGTCTAATTGTTTTGTTCTTCTTTTGCAAGCAAAACGCGAGGTTTATACTATATGATTCATTCGATAAGCTAAAACTTCATCAGTTTCACCTTCTTTAGATTTCGAGAGTATCAGTCTGCCTATATCCCATCCGTCCAAACAACATTTTTCAAAGAAAAGCCGCTAAACCCAAATTTTAATCGTACAAAGAGCAAAACAACTTTTCCACATAATGATTTTTGTAAGCCCTCCACGAAGTTGTCCAAGTGGAGACTAACCGCACGGAGGTCATATGGATCGCGAATGCACCTCCCTTTTTGAAAGAATATTCTTGCATTCTGTGCCATATATTGTGTGATTACGAGACATTCCTCCTCACTGTTCGTGTTTGAAGTGATGGTGCCTATCTAAAATGCTTCCAAAATCTTACGCGCTGAAGTCTTACGTTTCTGTGAGAGGATGGTGGCATCTAGTTCAAAATTCTCCTCTTCAAGTGTCGCTGTCCTATGCAAGTCTAGCGGAGTACTTCGTTCAGCTGTGAGTTGCTCACATAGATGTTCTCTGCACGGATGCAGAGCAGTCTTCCTGTTTCGCTGGTGTAATCACCGTTACACATCTCAGAACCGGTTAAACAATACCCTCAATTATGTATTCATGCATTCTTGAACTGAACATGTACGGCCACAAAAGCGGTTACAAACTACCTGCCTTCTTAGAGTATGCGGAGGTATCTCGGTCGTTGTCACCAATTTCTCCAGGCGTGCTCTTTTCGAAAAGCGCTCATAGCTCTATTTATTTCGTTCCAAAAGAATGGCAGGACAATGTTCATGACAGTAGAT